ATTTTCGACATGCTTTTTCCATTTCTGGCATTTGTTAAGTTATAACCCATAATTTTATGAAAAGTAGGTCACGTGATGGCTTAGCTGCAAAGGGTCTATCATTCGAGACCAGGAGGCTCCGCAAAAATTAACACCCGACTAGAAAAAACCAGTCTTCTACGATCGCAAAAATTAGCTCCCGCCTGGCCCGGCCCATGTCATCATAGGTTCCTGTTCCAGGAAAATACAAAAAGTCACCGATCATCAAAATTAACCCCCTCCCCCCCCCAAAAAAAAAAGATTTGTGCCACACGGTATGTAGATAGCGATACTTAAAAGACACAAACAAAAACAATCATGACGTGCGTTAGGTTTACAAAACTACAGTAGATGGAAACTGTATGGCAAACGCACATGTACACAAAGTGTAGACCGTGATGCTTATCTATAGTAGCCATATACTGCGATATATTTTTTAATGCGAAGGGTAAATAACCTACCATCAGACGTTTTTTTCTCTCTTTTCTCTCTTTTCTCTCTTTGTCTTTTCTTTCTTTTTACCTCTTTCCCCTTTTGCATGCAGCTCGGCAGGTTGAATAAAAAGAAAAAATATATTGTAATTCCAATATTGTAATTCCTATATTGTAATTCCAATTACCCAGTTAGAAAAACAAGTCTTTCACAAAGGCAAAATTAGCTTCCGAAAAATACAAATAGTCACCGATCCACAAAATTAAACTCTCTCTTTTGCACTGTGCCCTCCCCCGCTGGCATTGCCCCTTGTGAGCAACCAGGAGCAAACAGAATCACAGACCTGTCAATTTCCTTTGATTGATCAGAATTCTGAGTCATTCTCAGCTTGATTTAAATCCAGCTAGTGCATGGAGCCTTAAGTTTCAGGCAATTTGTAAAGCAAGAATATTGTAGAGCCTTTTTCTTGCGTGACTTGTGCGGAGTTGCGTGACGTTGCATGATTTTTCTGAAACCAGCAACCTGCTGGGAAAAGGGGACGTTATATTGGCGTGTAAAGCACCGACATTGAATAACAATCTAGACCAAAACTAAATCCATGGAGCAAAAGAAAAAACAAACGAGTTTTAGGCTGCAAGCTCCGGAGGTTTCCCATGATGCCATCGACTTAACCGCACCCCTTGAGAATAGGGCAGGTGACGTCACCGCGCGAGCGACGGAGAGCACATGGTACAGACAGCAGTGGGCTTGTAACTCGGATCAGTTTAGGATTATGCCAAGCGCTTCATCGCAATCTTCCATGCAGATCACAGCGCAGATGGAAAACAACGACTTACCCAAAAATGTCTTGAGCCTTTTGGAGAAGAAAGTTCGCAATTTGGAAAAGCGTAAGGTGAGGTTTTGGCTTTGTTTAGGCGACCGAACTCGTGTCGATCGTTCCGTCAACCACGCCATGATGATTTTTGCAGTATTGACGGGAAACAATTCGATTCTGTTCGCAGGGAAAGCTAGATTCCTACAAAAAGCTGGTGGATGCTGGAGAAACGTTGAATGAAGATCAAAAGGTGCGTTTATTAGAGAAGAATTTCAATTGAACTTTACTTGTGAGATAAACGGACGGAAAACAGGGAGAACATTCGTTCAATTTCTTCAATTCCTACTAGCCAGGTGTGCTTTCTTTCAATGAACAAAGTTTTGCAACGGGATCACATGGGTTTGTTTAACCTTAGCTACATGCTTCGACGATTATTGGAAAACAGGAAACAGCGAAGAATTTATGTAATACATATTTCGGTTTTCCGTGCTGGAGAAGTCTTTCCATGTCATACTTTTATATAAGGTACGTGATCTAACATTTTCTACATGCTGTTTGCGCAACCGTACGACATCATTCAAAGTTTATCGTTGATCATCAACACTTTTGGCTATTGATGAGAAAATCACATTAAAATACCGCAAAATTTTTTCAAGTTTCCAATGTTGTTTGTTACCACATGAGAAAACTACTATTTTGAAATTTGTACAAATTGTTCATGGAATTAAATTTATTCTAAATATTTTTGATTTCTTCTTTTTGCACTGCTGGCTTTCCCATTGTTGTTTTCCCCACCAAGACAAAATTGATTATAAGAAACAAACTAGTTGATTAATCATTGTTTCTTGGTATCAGGAATCGGTGCTCACTTCAATTTTAAAAACTACAAATGTAATTGTGATTGTGATTGAAATTAAATAACATTAATCTAAGTAGGACTAATGGTTTTAAATATAGTTTTTTTAACCGTACTGTTAATGAATGGAATAGTTTACCTTATCACATTAGAGAAGCAAATTGTATTGGAATTTTTAAAAGGAATGTTTTAAGTTATCTTATGGATAATTAGAATATTTGTATATTTGTATTTGTATTTGTATTTGTATTTGTATATTTGTATATATATTTTTAATTTTAATAAGTGGGTTCATGAGCTGGAAAAACTGAGGATCATGGATCGCAGATATTAAAATTTCGTTCTCTTGAATCACGAAAATAAGCAAGATACTCTTTTTTATAGCCTGTTCTTACACTAGAAAGAGTTTTGAAGGAAGAAAAATCTTGAAAGGCAAGGCTCCATATTGCAAATCACATGTCTAAGTCACTCTCGATAGACGACTCTAACCATTCGGAGGACTTGCTTCTCAAAATCACATAGAACTGATTGGTGAAATCACGAATAACAGTAAATAATTCAAGTTCTTCACAGGTCAGGCAAAACCTTCAGGTCACAGATCATGAAGAAGAATTTCCTAAATTCACGTTTCACGGAAAATAAAATCAGCTAATCACGCATCATGAGAATACCCCTGTATGACCCTCGTTATTGGAATAGTAAGTTTTAGATGTGTTAACTAAACTTGCAGCAAACACTACAAAAAGTTAGAGTTCAAACGTCAAACTTTACATGTGCTGAAACTTAATGTCGCCCGTAAAGTACATGTAAAGTTCAACCTCAGAATCAGTTATGATCATTACAGATGTATTTGGGTTGACCTTGCTGTTCAATTGTGTAGTTCCAGAAATTATCTATACCTCTCCCACAGAAGAGATGTTTTCTTAGACCTCCCCACCCCCACTGGAAATTCCAGTCAAACTTCATACATTTATCTAAATTTTTTTGGTCTTCCAGACTCCCCCATTCCCCAGGAAATTCCATTCCCTTCCATGGGGGGAGTATGGATGTTTTCTGGAACTGCCCATTTGGCTATGGTAGTCAAACAACAGCAAGTGTTGACTTTGATTCAGACATCAAACTTAACATGTGCAGAAGCTAATGCATACATTAAAGATACATAACCTGAATTTTATTTTACCTCAAAGAAATTATTTGTGTTCAATTAGCAATTAAATATGAAGAGATGATTGATCATGGCAGTTATAAATACAGCTTAAGCAGCTGTGAAATTTAAGCCTGAGTAAAATTCGGGCCTGAACAGGATTCGAACCCATGACCTCTATGATACCTGTGCAGTGTTCTACCAACTGAGCCATCAAGCCAACTAGGAACTGGTACATGATCTTTCATATATTCAGTTGCAGTAGCAATTAAGTTCGATATCTGAATCAACTGTTAATCTTAGTTGTTTTATATGCATGCACATGATCAAATTTTTCTGGGCTCTGATGTTGTCAGGAGCATTGCACATTTGCTCACTGTGACCCGAACATGTATGGGCTCTGGGGATGAAATTGATGCTTTGTATGTCCTGCGTTCTGCTAGGATTAATAATAAGGGATGGTAAATTTGTAAAAGTTATTTAAACTATCTGTCTTGTTGATTTAATGATTTGACATGTTTTGTCACAGCTTGCCGTAGGCCAGTTGGCACAAGTGGAGCAGAATCTGGAATTCGCCAGGGATCTACAGAAGAACATAACCCAGATATGCAATGAAGTAAGTGTGCAGGCAATGTACACCTCGCTTGTGACAGGGTTTTCACATCTTGCACAAAAATCCGAGTTTAAACCATCTAACATAGAGATAAGATGCATGCAACTCGGATGCTGTAAAGAATTTGCTAAAACCATACGTTTTGCAGTTACCTTTTCCTGTTTTTCATAAACATCTGTTTGGCATTGACACAGTGAAAGAGACTTCAAACTGCACAAGCCATAGGTGTCATGTGAGCCTGTCTATGGTTGTTGTGAGGTAGATAACTTTTCTGGCATCCAGATCGAAGCATCGCATGAAGTAAATAAATTGAAGGGGTGAGTGCAAAACCATGCTAAGTGACGATTTGGGTGAAAAAAAA